CATCATGTTCCCAAATAAATTTTTAATTATAAATATACACATGTGGGAATTTTATTCGTGTACGTACCAATTTATAATGGGACTGACTGTATACATAATAATAAATATACTAATAAAACACTAAATGAAATTAATAAAATTAAATAAAATATCTCAAGACGAGCGTCTATTCTTAACACTCCCTTCTCGTATTTTCCGAGATTAATATTCAACGTCACCTCGGGCAGGGGATAAGTTTTTAATCAGTAGGTGTCGCGACGCGGCACGAAGTTCGCAGTCGCCAATTTAGATTGTGATCTTCGGCCTTATGCTGATAAAACGATAGGGTTCGCTGGATTCTCTAATAATAGTACCAGGCGTTGTTGATCACCCTGTATAAGAGGGTACGTGGATACGTAGTGCCGCGTAAATGCGAAGGAGGGTTTATCGAGAATACCTTGTTCGCCGTCAGCACGTGCTCGCTCCACACTCTATCGATCTCTAACTAAATTAAAATGCTCGGCGCATTATTGCTTAGACACCGGAGGAGAATCGACGTTGCACTATTTGCAGCAAACAGAATCTTCTTTGACATCGAACCCCGCCCGATATAATCGCCTTAGGTGCGACGCGATTCAGCTGACTTCTCGGTCACTGACTTTTTTTCTAATCGCGATTCTCTGTCAGCTTTGCCAGCCCTTTCTTCGGTAAGACGATTTCTTTGGTTTCCTCTGATTATTATTAACTGTTTGTTGAGAAGTCGGTTAAAAATGAGTGGAAACATAAATGCTGGTGGCGAATTGTGCACACACCAGAGGTGACGCGAATTTTTATATTTTTCTTTATTAAATAGAATTTTGTTTCGATGTTAAGATACAAATATGCTACTCCACTTTGATACGGTGTGTGATTTAATTCTAAAATGTATCATGACCGTAAGTAATTTTAATATAAAAGCAAAAGTAAGAAAAAAGAATATGATTACTGAGGAGTCAATTTGATTTTGAAAGACACTAAGAGCATTTAAAATGGTGTTTCTATTGTACTTTATGTAAGTGCAAGACATGCACATAAAGCTTTTACTGATATAATCTGAAATGCGTGCATATTGGAATGAAATTTAACATTAGCAATAAATTGATAACGAAACCCATAGATCATACCGTCGGAGATATATTTACGATCTCGGTAACGGATAACGATGTTTGTCAAATATACTACTACGCGAAGCTATAAAAAATATCCGTGACTGATGTTCGCAATGCGAGAGAAAATTCCTCCTTTCGCCCATAAATCGCCTTTCCATGATAACAATGCCATTATCAATCACAGGTTTATGCGACATGAAATCTCGAATAATAGCAAAATACTCTTTATAAATAATTCTGATCGTAAATCAGAGTTAAATCCGGAGCCATTCTCTTCGGCTCTCCAATGTATAGAGCGTGCAATTATTCAAACTACAGAGAAATCAAACTTTACTAGTCATGCATTCCTTGAGTTTGCGTGTCAAGTGAAATTTATATTATCTCTGTCGATGTAAATAATTAGTAAATTCATTTGTCCTAAAGACGCATTAAAAACAATTTCCACGTGTAGCTATTAAATATAATAAATAAAATGATCGTTGAATAAATATTCCTACATTAAAGTTAATTAAAATTCATAAGACACGTAGCAGGATCACCGTGATAATGCCCAGTATAACTCAAGAATGGAAGTGTTCCTGCACAAAAAAAAAATCTTTTTATTAATCGTTTTCTACTCTAAATTAATTTGTATCCCCTATAAGAAATAAAAGGAGCGTGTATTCACATAACTAACGACAAGTTCACCTCTTCCTTTTTTCAAGTCGTCAGAGAAACATTGCTATAAAGTGAAACGCGCCGTGCTTCGTCTGCCAATAGGAAATCGATAAGTTATTCTATAAACGCTATCAAAGGAATGGTCGATAGATTGATGGCATTAAAATACAGTCAAAAGCGTCGTGGATTCTGATGCTGAAGCACGAGGGTATCCTCGATGAACCAGCTCTTCCCCCTAGAAATTTAATTATAAAAAAACTGACAGGAACCCTCGGGTAGGGTGCGCGGCACCCTTTATCGAAATAGGAAATTGAGTACGCCACGTGGAAATAATGAAAATAGAATTGGTTCCACTCCTTCGAATCCCTTCGTGCAATTTGAGAAGACGTCGTTCCGGAATTTCTCCTTTCTAAATCGATTAGCGATCGCAATATTTCCGAAATGCGATTAAAACCCTCTGTTTTTGCCTCGCGAATGCGCGGACATTTTCTTACAGACGATGGAATTCGAATACTTTTATACCAACTACTTGTTAGTATAAAATGAATTGTTTCAATTTGTTTCAATGTACTACTCAAAATTAACATAAAATTACTCAAACAATTAATAACTGGTCTTAGAAAAAGCTAGGAATTTATTTTTCCTACGTTCGAATAGTTCAGAAGCCCATGTACCTCAATATTATATCTGAATTAATTGCTTGTATTTTAACAAATATTTTTAGAAATGTAAGGTAAAATATTAGACTGCTCGATCGATGACTCGTGTTGCTCTGTAATAGGTTGCACAATCAGCTGGGCTCTTTTCTTCATCGAGAATTACGTGAATCCTTTATATAAACGTTTCCTTCGCAAACGGTTACATCGAAGTACCAGCGCAGGAGAATGAAAATTATGTAATAATACGAAGAAATACTGAACACACAATATTTACATGATGCACTAAACACGACACCAAACCTATTTAGCACGCTTTATGTTAAACGAAGAAAAATCGTAAATATGCAAAACTCATCTTTAAATAAAATTAACCTTTTAATTCTTGTATATTTTGTTTATACTCAATCTATAAATTTCAGAAAAGAACTCTTACACCCTAATAATTTTTCGACATGTTTATAAATACAATTCGATTTGTATTTATGTTACTATATCTCTAACTATATTTTTCGGAATTTCTGATTAGTTCAACAATGAAAAGGTTAAGAGGTTCGAAGAAAAAAACGATCCAAAAGTCTCTAATTGCTACTACGAGCTACAGAACCACTTCCATCTCGATTTCGTAGTGGGAAACATGACATTGGACTTGGTTTCCAGGGAATCTCGAGACTTGAACCGTAATGCGATCTACTCTGCATGTTTACCAATCAAGGATTGAAACGTGACGCGTAGTATTGACAGTTCCGTGTCACGTGCACGCACCCGTGACAGCCGCGGAACAACAATGCTCCCCGAAAACCACGGGAATCAATAATTCTGCAAAAGCGTGCTGGAGGTCAATTGACTTCGATTTCATGCAGGCAGAGTCACGGCTATTCTGTGAACCTTCATCGTATCCGAAGCCTACATGCAAGCCCAGGTATTCAACTAGAATTTCAATCAAAGAAATATCGACTTTTTAGATCGGAGTAAAAATACTCCAAATTCCGTCAATTTTATGGTTCGGGTCTCAAATAGCGTTTCAATATTTTTTAATTTAAGAGAAATACGTGATGAAATAGTTTGAGTGGAATGTACCTATTATAACATTTGTTTTAAGTATTAAAAAAATGACTAGAATATGCATCGAGGATTACTAGAACGATAAAATATATTTTCTTTAATCAGATCTCCTCTTTACTCCGATCAATTTCTGTACACCGTTGCTTCTTTTTAATTGAAAATTCAAAACCCACACTTGACACGATTATCACGCTTCACTTTAACAATTCGCCACTCACCGACGTACTCACTATATTTGGCAATCCGATTTCACTTCGAGTGCAAATTATATACGCCTATGCATTTCCTTGCTAAAGCGATAATTTATATTTATAGTGGAGGCAACGAAGTAGGATGTATCGACCCACACCTCGCTCCCCCAAAAATAAAACGTAACAATGCTATCTAAAAAAACAAGAAAGAAAAGATGAGATTACCGGGACGTACGAAATAGAGACGAGTACGTTTATACACGGTGTGTCTTGTTCATTGGGAAACTCCTACCCACGAGTTAAAAATATCGCCATCGATAAAATTAACGCGAAGTCGACTTACCGCACCGAGCAGTTCTGACATTTTCGGGGTAACAAGCGTTCGCAATTTTGCCCTTTAACATTTCTATAATTATTTCGGACGTTTCGAACGCGTCGCGACCGTAACACCCCTGACACGTCGATAATGCCATCGATAGCTACCAGGATGAGCATCTACTCGCTCGCTGGAAAAATTCCTCCTCAATTTCCCCGTTCAAGTAATGTATATTTCCAGCCAACGAACCGGAGTTTCCATTCATTATTCAGGAAGCTGCCTTTAGCTAAAATTAAACAGTTATCAGCAGTGACAGGTGTCTGAAATCTTTTCTCTGTAAAATGTAGGATGACGTAGAAATATCTAGGACTGGTTATGAAGTTTAAATCCTAGTCTATATTTTATTCCAATTCGTGACAGAGTCCTTATTTTTAGATTTGTCTTATAGAGGTTTGACACACTTGGGTTCAGTCCTCTTTTGTTTGAAGTATCCAGACTTTTAAATAGATGTGTCACGTCAAGATCACAATCAGATCTGAACTCACATTGGATGCTAACAGTAATTGTGTGAGAAGTCAATTTAACGCGGAGATACTTGCGACGCTAACGAGCCAGAAATCGAGCATTGTATTAGTTTAATTTACTCTACACAGTCTGTTCTCAAACTTTCACTGTCTGAGCGATCTAATAAAAGCTCAAAATAATAATAAGAACTTGTTTCTAAGTAACTCAACAAATATCATAAATATAACAGAAGATATAATACCTCCTGGTTACTTTAAATAATTAATAAAAGAATGTAGCACCTGGAAGATGAAATATCAGGAATAGAAATATTCCTTATTTTGTTTAGAAATACGTTCTGATTGTCCAGACTCGTGAAACCCGTCCATCAAAAATCTCTGCAGGGACCCAACGATGCCTCAGCGTCATCGAGCGTCGTCCCGAGATACAGATCACGATTAAAGTTAAATGAAAGTCAGCTCACCGGTCATCCTGGGTGACAGTAATGTCAGGCGGAGGCGCGGAAGGCGAGGCACCGTCTGGAGCATCCAGTTTGCCGGCTTTTTCCTCGCTGTTCCTTGTCCTTAAATTCGTCCAACGAAAGACGAAGAAATCACGTGAAAGCGCCGCCTGAAAGGACGATCCTCACTGCGACGACATCGCAATAGACTCTCTCGTTTACTTTTTGTCCCCAAGTCGTCAAACACCTTCAAACAACTCAACGACGATCTCGAATACTCCTCGCGAGACAGCGTCCAATGTTCTGGCTCCGAACAGCACGCAAACGGAAAACACTGGGCTCTAGTATGAGCCTGAGCTTCCTTCAACGTTCACGATTCGCAGAGATACTTTCAAACATTCCCGCGCCACTTTCACCGTCCGATTTCCTCTAGAATTCTGCGATCTTTCCTCCTGATTCCAAACTTCAGGATCCCGAGGTTACTCGATCGAGTCAACTGCAGACGAGCGTCACTGAAATTTCTTCAGGATGCCCCAAAGGCTTCTGACGAGGGTTTTGAATCGAATATTAAGTTTCCAAAGCTCATCAGTCTGCGGTCACATTTATCAGATTAGGTTGTGTCAAACCTGGACGAGTACATGTCCTTGGTATCGAAGGTCATCCTCAGCTTCAGCTCCAGGTGCCTGAAGGCTTCCGACAAGTCCTTTTTGTACTGATTTTCAGCTTTAGAGTAAATCAAGTTCTGTCAATTCTCAGCGGCCTCCAACGAAAGGTTTCAACTCAGAAGCTCGTAGAACTCAGCTTCAGTTCCAACTCCAGGTGCTTGAAGGCTCCCGACAGGTCCTTTCAACTAACTCCCAGGTTTCTCTACTGATTTCTAGTTTCAGACCTGGGTAAATCAAATTAAGCTCTCTCTGTCAATTCTGAACAAATGTATTCTCAGCTCCTTCCAACGGAAGCTCCCAACTGATTTCTGTGGAATCTGCGATTCCCAGACTTCAGGCCTGTCAGACGACAGACTCCAGCGATGCAACGACTGCGTCTCTCCGACGTGCCCTCTACGACCACGAACCGTTAGCTCGATTATTAGATTTATTACAGGACTCCCTCCGAGACCAGGCTCGCTTCTTAGGTGAAAGCGAACGGCAATTATCGTGGAGCGTAGGCAAGGCAGTGCCTACGGTTTGCCGTGTATTCGATCGTGTGCTCTCGTAAACACAGACCCAGGAGGCGCCTCCGTGTACCCTGGATTGGAAACCAATCAGCGACGGTACTCTCGTTAAGTAGCGCGAGTAGCCAGGAAGCTCCGATGACCGATGATTTTAGCACAGCCTTTGGTCGATGAAACTGGTCGATTCGGTCAATAGTTCTTCGAGAATTTGGCAGAATGTTGGTAGATGATGTTCAGTGGGTGACAGTAAGGAACTTCACTATTGTCGCTAATTGATACTTCGTTGTGTCACGATACTGTTCCCAGAAATGGTCGCAAGATGTGCGTTTAGGGTGTTATTGGAAGCGTTAAGGTGAGAAAGTATTTTTCAGAAGGGAGGTTGGGTACGTGTGAATATTGTTGATCTAACTTAAAAATTTAGGAAAGTTCTATCACTCGATAGAAGTCTGATTTCCAAGGAAAAATCAGCTGTAGATTGTTTATCATGTCCGTTGAATATGGATATTCCACAAACTTAGCTAATACTTTAAGAATTTGTTATAAGTTTGAACTTTACAGTAACCTAGTTGAAAATGGTTTGCTTCGAGTAAAGATAACTGGCACCATTCAATGCTTCGATGGATATCAATATCACTATTCCCCCACAGTCGGCGAAGATATACTTCATCAAGCGTTTGTTAGAAGTTTGAACTTTAAAGAATCGATCAAATAGTACCTCACTCGTAGATTAAATATTCCAAGTAGAGATAGCTGGTATTTCGTTGAATGTCAGAGATGATCTTCCTCAAAAGATTGTCAAGTATACTTCGAAGCTATACTACAAGCTTCATCCACAGAATGTCGATGGAAATATTAAGTAATGCCTTATTTGTAGATTGTTATTACAGGTAAAGATCGCCGAGATCAACTTGGTGCTTCGTTGAATGTCAATGTCATTTATTAAGACTCTGATCAGCAGAGGATCGATAAAATGTTAAATAACACTGGGATCACTGGTGTCAACTTGATGTTTCGATGAATTTCAATGTCCCTCGAAAAGTTCACCAAGAATCGATCGTATCACTATCACTTGTAGATTATTATTTCAAGTAAAGATCACTGATACCAAACTAAGCGTTTCGTTTGGTGTCAATGTTGTAGCTCAAAGAGATAAGTCAAACGCAGCCTAAATATTTATCAGAGGAAACGTTAAATATTAGTACGAATATCTCACTTGTGCATTACTACTTTGACTGGCAGTCACTACCCGGAAATTGGTGTTTCGTTGAACGTCAATGTTAACGTTTTAGAAAGTCAGCGAAGGGGTACTCGAAAAGTTGATTAAAAACTTGAACTTTAAGACCTCGAAGACCACTGGTAGATCAATGTATCGTTAAATCTCAATGTCACTTCCTCTAGAACTTATTCAAGGTTTACTCCAAGGACTTATCAGAACTGTGATCCTCAGAGTATCGAGGACACGTTAAATAACTCTTCAGAGAGAATATATACACTGGTACCAACTTGGCGTTCGATGTCAATATTCCTGACCTTTCTCAAAAAGTTGCTCAAGCTCCAAGGATGTATCAGAACTTTGGTCATCAAACTATAAGATCGCTCATGTCACGACGAAACTACTTAAAACCTCAACCTTCCAACTATTATCACTTCAACTAAAGATCACCCGTACCAATTCATCACAAACCAATGATCATTCTCTCAAAAATTTGTCCAAAGCTTCCAGCTCCACACCCTTTCCCCACAAGCTCTATCGAGCATCCACTAATCCTCAGCCATCGATTGTCGAGCTCGACTTCTGTTCTCCAGCAACTATCAGCCCCGAAAAATTCAACTTTTCCTCGATCCCTCGTCGCGTTTCTATCCTCGAGAGAGCGGATCCATCGACCTCTGGTGTGCTCGCGGGCCTCCTCGACGTCGGCGAGACGTGGCCCTTTACGCAACAGCGTTTCGAGTGACAATTCGCCGGCCGGGGGTGGTGAAGTGACGTCACTAGGTGCAAAGAAACCGCACCAGCCGAGGTCCAAGGGTACGCGTTCGCCCCCGTAGTGTCACTCGCGGTTCTCGAGTGGTGCGAAACGGGAAACAACCGCCCGAGGGGCGGGGTGGGTGGTGCGCACGTGCAGTGCCGGAAAGGACACGTTCTTTTCTTTCTTATCCCGAAAATCGATCGTTAAGACACGCTGCATCGAATGACACATACATACGCCGCACCAGGGGGAGGAGAATCGAGAGGGGAAACGGGGGTTGGTGGACGCGTGCACGGTTGACCACCGAGACACACCGTGACACACGCTGAGCCTCGTCGTTCTATGCGTTCAATTCCACCCCGTTAGCCTAGGGCACTCGCGTCGCCTTGAATACGGAACTGGTGGCGTTTACGCGCACGCTGCATCGCCCCTTTTTAACCAAGCGACACTACTTTTTTTTTTTTTCGATCGCAGGAAACCGCGAACCAGGGGGAGAGAGGAGTCGCCCGTGGATTGGAATGCGATTCCGCGGGTGCAGCCGAGTATTAATCGCAACACTCGCCAACCGCCACGATATACTCGAGAAGACTGGAGTCTCGCGCGCGGTAGGTGAGGCCCCCCTTCTTTCTCGATTGCCGCGCTCCGCAGGGTCGTATCGAAACCCTGGAGGGCGACAGGGTGCTGTTTCGTGAAGGGTTCTCCAACGTTAAAAGCTATCTTCCTCGATCAGAGATGGGTGAAACTCTAGGCTTCGAATAAATTTGAAGTTTGCCGATGTGTTTGTCTCGTTTCCTTTTTTGGAAAATGTTCAAAAGAGGAAACGAGACCAACATATCGGCAAACTTTAGATTTATTCGAAGCCCAGGGTTTTGCTCATCTCTGTCCTCGATATAAGTGTTACTATAATTCTATGGAACTATAACTATATAGAAGTATTCAAAATTAAAGAACTGGAACCACTACGGATGCTATTATGATTCTTTGATTGGTACCACCAACATTACAATTGTAATTCTAAAATTTATTACAAACAGATTCTAGAAAATATGAAAAAGAACATAAAAGCAAACAAACTTCCTAATTTCTGCCAAAATGTAGAACAATCGACTTCCAAAAATCTACCATAATCAAAACGCACCCCATTATCATTGCCAAAAATAAATTTGTCAGGACCATAAACAATCCAGCCCATCTCCGCTCCTGCAATCGAGCTCTATCTCTCTCACGTGACCCGTCTCATTCTATCACGTTCTACGTTACTCTCTATCGCCATCTTCGTCGCTCCAGAGAACCTGTCTCCGTTCGATCAACTAGTGTATCTGTCCTTCTTCCTCGCGCACTTTCTCCAGAGGGTTTCCCTTCGTCGTCGAGCCGAATCTCGCTCGGCCTTGGTCGTGAATAATCGGCACGATTACGAGTAGAAAGGCGCGTGGAGGGGGTAAGGTTACGTAGAGCGTGACAGCAACAATTTACGTTGAAATAGATAAGGACAGCGATGCAATGAAAGAAACGGAGTGCAAGCAGTGCAAACCCAGCGTACGAGAAAGGGAAGGCATGAATGAGCGTAAGATGGAGCGAGTACGCGAATGAGCGTAAAAAAAAACAGCGGCGGGAGCGAGACGGCACGTGACTTCTTTCTCGCGCCTGGAACGAGTAAATGAATTTAAAAGAACGTGAAAGCGTGGATGAGTAGGAATCTTTATCTCGACGAGAATTATGATTACGGGGTTAGAGATTAGAATTCTAATTTTAACTAATGAAAATTTTAATTTCTAAAGCGAATTAAAATTGTTGTGTACATTTTATATTGAACGAATGGAAACCTATCTCTACAGTAGTTTGACCAAATAAATGTTGCTACTAAATCACTAAATTATCTTTCTTATCGTGTATCCATATCTACTTTATCTGCTTCCTTATCACGCATTTTTATCGTAAACAACGTCTGCAATAAAAACGAAAAAAGTAAATACAGTACAATATTGTAAAGGAACAGGCAATATATACAAAAATGACATTATTATAATTTTATGATCTTTCTTCTAACCCACATGTTGCTTACTCATATGTTACTTCCCTGCGAAAGGAGGAGAGTAAAGTGATATAAAAAATGCGTAATGGCAGAGGTATTGCAACAAGGGAAAATGGTGCAACAAGGTAGAGGTGGATTGAACGAAGAAAGACGTAGCCAGAGAGGTATTGCATGGAGAAAGAGAGGCTTCAAGAAACAACGGGAAAGAGGGAAATACGTGAAACAGAGCCACGCCCGAAGGTTCGTCAGCAAAATTTTTATATTTACACTGTGGGAGCCTAGAATCCGTGAAGTGTAAATGTACACACTGCACGTGGGTTCCGCGAATGTTTTGTATAGGCCAGTGTTTCTCAAGCTTCACTATTTTATGAAACCCTCATTTAGGATTAGAATTTCCCTAATATATTTTATAATTTTTTCTTTCAAGTATAATATCTGTACATTAAAAAAATTTTAGTATCATTACCATTTAATTGTTAATGGTAAATATTTTGGTAATTATTGTACTCCCATATTTTTGGAGGAATCATTATTGTTAATTAGTCAGTACTGTATAATATGATAGTAATTTTGTTTCGCTAAATAGAATTGATAGATCCTTGGTATTTGACTTCCAGGGTAATAGCTATACACTTTTTTCTACGTCTAATTGCGCGTGACCAAAGCAACGAATGATCATGGCAGCAAGTGTTCGGAGCAGTGAGAAAAGAGAGAACGAAACCATTAAATTGAAGGAGTGAAAATTTACTTTTCCTTTTTAGAGCGATTGAATTTCATTAAAAGTAGATTATCTAATACATCCTTAGTTAGAATGTCTCGACGCGCGTACACGTTGATGGAACGAGGTTACACGATTAATGAGAATTTCCGTGGTTCGAGGGACACAAAGAGAGAAAACTGCGACCGTAACCCTGGCACGGGACGATTTATGAGCGAGATCGGTGAGCACGTAATATACACAGTGACCGTGAAATTGAAATCAATTTGAACGATGTCCACGAAAAATACACTCATTTCAAGATAAATTCGAGTCGCTATACGATAGCCATTAATATTAAATTCATCTATTCTTCCAGTAAAATATTTAATGTCTCATATTTATTATATTATTAACGAATAAAAATGTCAATAATGTGTAGTACAAGCATGGAAGTATGACGCATGACTTTTCCGTATACCTAGTACACGTGCAAACTCTCTCTCTACGTATACGTAATACGATCGATTTCTATCGCAGCAGCTTCTTCGTCTAAAGCGAAATCAGTATAATATTGAATGCGAGAAGTAAAACGAACAAACAACGTTGTTGGAGAGGTGCCACGTGAAATATACACGTGTCAGAACGTAAGCCAGACCTAATTGCAACAAACAGAACGAGCTGCATTAATGGGACCAACCTGTAGCGAAATGGTGACAAAGATAAAATTGATAATACTATTTATTTATTAATTATAAATGTTAAATCATTAAGTATAATATATTGGTGACCAAAGTGTCGTCTTCTATCGACTCTAATAAATGGATTTTTATTTATGGCTCTAAGTTATATCTCGTGTGTGATATTAATTTAATGCTTGGATTGATATTCTATTTAAAAACAATTTATTCTTCAAAGGGGGTTGGTGCGCCCTTTAATTTTTAAACTTATGATCAGCGCCCTCGGTGGAAAGACACCCAAGTGTGTAGCCAAATAGTTCTAGTTTCTCAATGCTAGATCTCACTACTAGTCGAGTTCTGATGGGAATATGAACTTAATGATAATGAAGGAATCTGTTTTGTAGGTAACAAAACTTACAGTAGACGATCATATTTTGTTTAACATATTACAAATTGTAGAAATCTTACCTGGAACAGGGCAGGAACATGGAACCATCGATGAACACAGAACCGGAAAGCAGTATGTACCAGCTCGTGGCCAATTCACCGGTGCTGAAATATTTTAAATAACATTAATTCAATTCATTTATTTAAATATAAATATATTACATTAATTACATTCTGAAATCATGATAAGTGATAACAGAATGATAACAAAATCTGCAATATCTACGGACGATTACTGCATTTGTGCAGGTTTCTGTAGAAGGTAAGAAAGAAACGGGTCGATAAGGTAACGTGGATAAAAAAGCAGTCAAAAAGGTCGATAAGGGAATTTCCTGCTAGGATTTTAATTAGACCTCCTACCATAGGCGTAGGAGAAAACTATTCATAGGTTTATTAGGTGAATTAATTCCTTAGAAAATAGTTTTATAAAATACGAACGTGATTAATTACAAATGTATTACTTACTAATAAAGAACGTGGTTCGCATGGTGCCTTTCGTATCGTACGATCTTGCAAAGCCCACGAAGAATAGAATCTCTGCACGGACGTAATGCTTCTAGACCTAGCAGACCATAATATATGATCTGCAGATCCTGAAACAGAAAATAAAACATATGTTAGTCTTGCCATATTAAAGATACAATTAAAAACAAGTGATCTGCCTGATAAGATTTCGACATTTATATTTTAGTTTCTGCAAACGTACACTCTCTTTAAACATAATATTTTCTTGTTCCTCTATGCAAAGTTACAAGCGACATTTTCTTGCCTAAACGTTTTACAACTCTCGAAATACATTTGAAAAACAACGAAGACAGCTCTGGACATATTCACGGCTTGCATTTATATTTAGTCGAATACTTCTCAGCCAGCGAGCTTATCTTCAAACGCTGCAAATTCAAGTCAGGATTCTCGTTTATTTATAACTCACAGATCAACTTCCTTATTACATCTATCTACTGTTGTAGTATCTACTTTGTTTTTTTCCTTACTATAATTCTGTTTGTAAACGGGTAAAAAAGAAATTAATAAATGAAAAATGTATTATTTATACCCAATGCTCGCTATTGGCATATAAAAGTCAATGAGGCAATTTACGAACTCGAACGAGGAGCGCGCGCCAACCCAATTGACTCTAACACGACCCTAATGTTGCCATGTTATCTTACACTATGATCGTCGTACTATCGTTATCCAATGCGATGAATGAAACCGGTAACGTCACTTACGCAACTAAGCAAATTCAATGGAACAGTTCTTTTCTTTCGACACACTCACTCGAACAGCTTTGAACAATGAACAATCAGCAAATTGTATATATTATGTTCATTCAAAATCAACAAATGACTCGTAATTCTTTCTTTAAAAAATAACAACAAATATTTTACTTCATTGATCCTCAATCAAATTAAACGAGAACTTTCCTTCATCCTCAATTAATCTACATTTGCCATCGAACCTCCTTTCTTGTAATTCAGAGTAATTTCTTTCAATTTCAATTACTGTATATTCACTAAGAAGTCATTTCTTCTTATGTTCACCTTTTTCCCTTATTCTCAACCGATGTGCTTGATACTTCTTCAGTAAAAAGAATATTGATTCCTAACTCTGCCAATACTCAACACGATGATCCAGGAAAAAAAATAACAATATATTCATCCCTTTAATTTGATTCGCAAAGAACAAGCATTTCCATATCGCGCAAAAGCCTCATAATTAAATCCGCCT